GACAAGATTGCAACTATTAAAGATTGGCCAACCCCGCCTACGCTAACGGAAATACGACCATTCCCAGGACTGGCCAACTACTATAGGATGTTTGTGAGGAACTTCACGTTCATCGCTGCATTGGTGTGTAGATTGCTGAGGAAAGAAACAGTCTTGCAATGGGACAAAGACTTTACATCCTCGTTCAAGAAATTGAAGAAGTGCTTAATTTTGTACTCACTCCTCAAAATAGCCAATTCATCACTCCCCTTTATTGTGACAACGAACGTGAGCCAGTATGGCATTGGCACCGCACTTCAGCAAAACGACAGACAAGTTTATAGGCCTGTTGAGTTCATGTCTCGTAGTTTGTCCTCTGAGAAGGTTATTGCTTCAACCTTTAAAAAGTAATTGTTCGTGCTGAAATAAGTTTTAGCACATTGGCAGCATTACTTGCTAGGATAGCATTTCAAAGTGTACTCGCACCATGAGACGCTTCGCTGGCTAAAGACTCGGGCCCGAATGTCCACTAAGTGAGCTAGGTGGGCCACTGAAATCAATGAGTTCAATTTTGAGTTCAAACCAGTTAAGGGTTAGTACAACATCGTCGCGGACACTCTAAGTAGACGGACAAATTTCTTTGGGGCTATAGTAAGTACAAAGTCATTGCAAACACTGTAAACAGGCAGATTTCTTTGGGGGCACGCAGGAACAAAATTGCAGCGAAAGACTAAGGAGTACTCAAATGATAAGGGCCTTAGTGAGATCATTAGGAAGGTAAAGGCCTCTGGACGGCTGTTTGAGAAAACGGACGTAGACGGAAACGTAGGTAAAGGCCCTGAATATCGAATAGCCAATGGACTGTTGTTTGACAAAACTGACGTAGATGACCGCCTATGTGTTTCAAGCAGTGAAGAAATCCGTAGTTTGATTCTAAGGGAATGTTATGATTCTGAGGGCCATTTCGGTAGGAGGAAGACTTATGCTAACCTCCTACGGTCCTACACTGGATTGGAATGAAACATGACTATATTCTCTATGTTCAGGGTCACAAAGCCTGTCAAGGGAACAAGAGTGCCATGCAGCCACCACTACATCTATTGAAGCCACTACCTATACCATTAGCCCAGGAGATGTTATTTCTAAACAATTCATGGATCTAAGGTAAAGAGTAGGAACAGTAAGAGTCGAGTCATGGTTGTTGTAGACAGATTTAATAAATTTGCAGTTTTTATTCCGCCGCCACCCAAAGTGAAAAACACTTAGTTATTCAAGAATTCTCCAACCATTGGGTGAAGGACTATGGACAGCTAATTATAGTCAGTGATAGAGATACTAGATTCACAGGCGAGCACTGGCAACAACTAATGAAAGTCTACGGGTCCAAGCTCACTATGCCATCCAGTAGACGCCCAGAGACTAACGATTAGACTGAGCAAATGAATAAGCCGCTACAGCAGGTGCTTCATATATGCATTAGACCCGAACATATAGATTGGGATGAGCATCTACCTAAGGTAGTGAGTGCCTACAATAACTTGGTGCACCTTGCAACCACCCGTACACCTAATGAGTTGCACAAGAGGTGGTGTCGCGAACGCCCTATAGAGTGCTTGAATCCTGATCGGATTCAGAAACTGCCACCCGGGATTAGGGAGTCTGGCCTGCAGTATGAGAAAAATCTGCAGAAAATCGTGGAGAATACCTGAACGGCCCAACAACAGATGGTATACCAGGCCAACATGCATTTGCAGGCCGTCGAAGTTCGCTGTTGGCGACATAGTTCGGGTTAAGTCTAAGGAGTTTCTTGTGGAAGAAGGAAGCCCCCATAAGGTGCTACCCACTTATAAAGGATCATGGGAAGTATGAGATTATATGGACACTAGGTATGAAATTGACAAGATTGTCGACGAGGATGTCTACAAGTCAGGACGGAGGGGCAGGCCCCAGCGTCAGTACAAGGTTAGATTTGCCTATTAGGCGCCTAGAGATGACCGGCTAGTATACCAGGGATGAGCTAAGGGAAAGAACACCTAACATAGTTTCCTACTATAGACGGCCTGGGAAGAGTATCAACATCATAGACCGGTAAAGATAGGATCTTTCTCGAAGGATCTCGAAATTAAGTTGATGGGAGTGAAAGGATTTCACCCTGCACAAACGTCCCGGTCCCCGGCGCGAAGGTCCCACTCCGGCCTAGTCCTAGACGGTCCCAATCCTACTACCCAGTAGGCCATGTCAAGGTCAATAGGGTCTCAAAGGAGTCTGTAGGTAGAAGCGTAGTAGTCCGGTACAGTCGGGAACCGAAGCGTTGTAGGTCAGTAGAAATCTACCAGTACCGACAAGAAAAGTCGGTCCCAGAGTCCAAAATTGCACGGGTGTATTCAGGGGAAGATCAGAGTAGTGGACAGGGATAGTGAGGCGAGAGAGAGAAGCTTGGAGCGCAGTGCGGTTGAGCGATACATGTCCAGAGAGAGAGAGAGAGGGGGGGAGAGGGAGTCACACAATAAGGTAGAGTCAGAGTGAAAGTAAACGGGTTGGGGTCGTTGAGTGTGGTCAAGCCACTGGATACTCTTAACTCTTTATTGTATTATATATTAATCGAGTGAATTTCCTGTGCGCTGATTTGGATTTTCATCTTGCGGCGTCATTTGAACTCTTTATGTAAATGTTCTGCTTAATAGTGCTTATGCATGCTGTGATTTGGGGTTGAATCCCGGAGGATCATTCCAACAATCAGAACAACTATCTTATTATTAGTTATTAAAAAAGAGAGGAGCACAAAGAAAGGGGCCGCAGCTAGGTTACCAGAGTGGCCCCGGACCACTTGTCCGGCTGGGCAAAAAATAGAATACGTTCAATACGAAAATAAGGAGACAATTATTTATTTTATTTTTTTCAACTTGGCAAATAATTTCTCTTTTCTTATTTTCTTTTATACCCAGCTTCGCTTTGTATATTAGAAAAGTCAGGAAACGAGCCTGGCTCCCCTCACTGAAAGGCAGGTGGCCTCTTTCATGGGCGAGGCATCTTCGGCCAAGCCCAAAAACCAGACCAAACACCACTATCCCCATTGTCCTAAACTCGGCTTTCCTGGCCTTACGGACCGGGTTTTTGGGGGTGGGGGCGGCAACCGGCAGGCACAGGTCGGACCAGTCCAAGGATTTTCAACCCCCAGCTTTGGCGATTTTTTGGGATCAGAAGAATTGACGAAAAATTCTGAAAATTTCAGATCCTGTAGATCAGATTGTAATCTTTCCAAGAAAAAGATCAAAAAATGAAAAGACAGATATAAATGCCGCGCCATTTTGTCTCATTTTCCATTTTTGCCACTCTACCATGTGTGGGCCAATGGGATAAGTACCCCAACTTCCACGATTTTCTGCGCTCAGAAGGATGACTGAACAACTCTGAAAACTGGAGGGCCTGTAGATTTGGTCGTGGTCTTTCCACAAAAATTTGCTGACCCTGAATTTCACTGCGCACTGAAATTTGCCGAGCCTGCGTCCCACTCTGTTTTCATTTCTTGTACTCTTCGGAAATGAAAAAAATTGTGAGGTGGAAACTTTGAGAGAAGACGATAGCTTAGTTAGAAAAGAACCAAATCCCCCCCAAAGAAAAACGAACAAACAAATTGTTAGTGATGTGTTACTCAATAATATATAATGCTTCACATAAGCAGTATTAAAAACCCTTATCGAGCAATTGATCTGGCAAAAGCACAACAACAATTAGGTGTAGAAATACGCCATAAAGTGCGCTACGTCGACGACTTATGAAGCTAACACCAAAAAGCTACAATATCTCAATGAATTAGATGGGTAAAGCCGCTAAACATTGGCAAGACTAAAATATATATTGTCATTTCACAGAGTCGAACTAGAGTCAACCTCAACAGGGTCTTCATTCCCCGCCGATTCTTCCAAGC